ATGCATTTAAGTGTGCCCTGCCCTTGTAGTAGCCATTGGCAGTGGAAGTATGTAGCATGATGGGCAATATAATGGCCATAAATTTAATAAGTATCTAACTCCTCTGTGATAAATTATGGTTTTTCAAATTTACATCATGTATTCTGAGATGTTTCTCTTAGCAAAATGAACATTCTCTTAACAGATCACAATAACCTTTTAATAAACTAAAATAACTTTTAATAATACTAAAAAACTGGAAATGTATAGTATTTTGTAAATTAGTTAGCAAAATTTAAGAAGTGAAAGGAAAACAAAATATTTTAAAAATGTAACTTTATTTAAAAAACTATACTTCATAAGTTTACTTCTTAAGTATATATATGTTGTTTGCATGTCTTTTCTTTCTTTCTTTTTTTAAAGCCTAAGTTCTAAAGTTCTCAACATTATAGTAATAAATTAAGTAAGATGTTGGGTTATTGTTATCTTCAATTATTATCTCATTAAAAGATATGGCTATACCAACCCATATAAATCTGTCCTTGTTACAGCAACAGGATTATCAATATCAGCTTTCTTTGTTTGCAAGTAACCTTTCTAAATAAGTCTGTTTGTAGTATGACCAACATTATTCATGCCTATCATTTTCCTTTAAAGAGGAGTGATATTTTTAAATGAATAGCATTTAGTTTGAAAAACCTGGGGAAGTTTGTTGTTTTAAGATAAGATTTATTTTGAAAGGCTATGCCAAATGTATCTCATCTAAGGAAAATGAGAAATGCTATTATTAGTTCTTTAATTGTAATTAAAGATGAAGGTATCATTTTAGTTTGAAGTGATATTTTGTTAAGATGATCTGTATGAGGTTAATTAACAGGGATGAGGTCCAGGGCTTCTTAATTCACGTTTATGCAGAGATGATAATACGCATCATCAGACTTAGTTTGGCAGAACAATATCTTATGTGAATGTGCATGCTGCTGTATGTATTGATTATCCATCTATATCTTCTGATCTCAATGCTAAGCTTTTGCAAGATATTCTGCTCTTTATCTTCTCTCTCAAATCTTTAAGGGGTGCTGATAAGTTTTATCACAATTGTCTGGCAGTATGCTGTAGGTAACTTGAAAAACTTAATCATTTTGGAATATCAGATTGTTGTTGTCTTTGTTGGCTTTTCAGAGAGTTTAGAAAACAGGATTTATTACTTCCATCTCCCCCCCCCTCTTGCCAACATGCTTATGTATATTTTTAGAACCATTTTTTGTATTTAAATTTGATATAGGTTTTATTTCACATATATGTATCTAATAGTGTAACTTTTTGAATTTTTGTGAGACCTGTCTGAATCTTTCTATCTGCATCAAATAGGAAGTGTTTCTAAGAGTAGGGATTTCTAAAAGTAGAGATTACAACTCTACAGTCCTAAAATAAAGTATACAGTTAAGTGCTAGGTATAAAAATAAGTGGGGATATCAGCTGCAGTGTTCAAAATGTTTGCTAAATTAATTTAGTTGTGCATTTATTAATCTATTCATCCTAAAAATGAATAATTAAAAACTTAATTTTCATAATTAAGAATCATTATAAATTGAAGATAAGATGATAATTTGAAATTCTGTGAAGTATCTTTTAGTGAAAGAGCATGACCATTGAATATATCTTTCTTAATAATGAATATATGTCTGCCAACATCATCTTTTAATATTAGAAAATGTTAGTGAAAGGAAAATATCATTTCTATAATGGCTAAATGCTTAAAGGAAATGCTGTAGCTATATGTAACTGCTGGCATAAATATTTTATGAATGCATCTTATGTCTCCGAGAGACTTATGAGTAAGTATGCAACATCTCTTTACAACTCTTAATGTTCAGCACATTGGCTTCCATCTGAGCATTCACAAAATTAATTACACAGAGAAATTTTTATTATAAATAAAAGAACCAAAAAGTAGCCAGTTGCTAAAACATCAACAAATAAGTTAATGCCTGTGGATATACGTTCATTTACAAGAAAAGTTTGTTTCTTTTTCTTTTTTTTTTTTTTTTTTTTTTTGCCTATTGAAGTTTTTATGTACAGTGAGCTTTGAATCATTATCTCTATTACACTGAAAAGAAGTATTGGAAATATATATTAAAATGGGGAATGTTTTTAGTAAACCACATGTTAATTAGACAATTCAGCATCATTTTTAATCCCTAATTTCTTCAGTTAGCAACTGTATTTCTAGAAATATTTTCTGGGTTATGGTGTTGCAATGGAAATATAAAATGTTAGTTTGCAGCATTAATTTATTTCTGGTTTTCAACAGTATTGATAAAAAAAAGGGTGTTTTTTGTTTATCTCCTGGGATATGATAGCACAAGAGTCGCAGACAATTATATTATATATTTTTTTAACGTATTATAGATCAAATATTTTTCTAATAATCATTGCATTGTCTGTCATCTTTTTAAGGTAATCTATAATTGCAGTCGGTGTATGTGACTTGTAAATTCATTTTTAATTATTGCTTATTTTGTTTAAAAATTAAATCTTTAAAAAAAATTTGTAATTTTTATTTATTTATGTTTATGATAATTATTATTAATCTGTAATATTTGATCTCTTGGTAAAAGCCCTTACTGCAATATTTTACTGTGTCTTTATAAAATATTATGATTAATTAAGTGTTAGTAATTCTTTAAATATTGAACTTTTTAACACATTGTGAAAGTCTTTCTAATGGCATTTTAATCAATATGTGAATTTAGTAACTGAATGAAATTTTATGATACGTGAACTTTGATGAGTACTGTATACATTGATGCACATTTGTTTTGCAACAGCCTAGACAATTTAAATGAGCAACATAATTTGGTACAGAACTCTCACTGACTCATTCAACAAAAATCTGACTACATTTTTTCCATATCGCAGATTCAGCCATACAAGCCTCCTTCATTTTATGAAGGCAAAGCATGTATATAAAACCTTTGATAAACCAAAATGGCCTTAAATAACTACCATTAATTTATATCTGGCTACATCATAGACTTTATATATAAGTTCTGATCATTCCAAGTCCTCTAAAAAATGATCAAATCTATATCCCATAAGACCGTATCAAGTAAGATATAAAGTCTTAAATAACATTAAAAGCATTTATGGTTAAATACAGAGCCCAAATAAATAGAAGCAATATGTGTACTGTAGTTTCACCATCCCAAACTTGAAAGACATAAGAAACTTTATAAGGTGCACTGCGATGGTGGCTGTAATGATTCTGTGTTGTAATCATAGATACATATAAGAGATATTATTGATAGAATATCATTTATCAGTACATTGTCATCCTTTTGTATCCATCAGTCACTTGTACAATTTCTGTACCCATTTTTCCCATTGTTAGGATTTTCTCATCCATTGCAGTTAGTGTGAGAAGTTTGTATAATGATAGCATCTGTTACTGGTTAGATTTCTGGTTTTTTTTACTATATGATTCTTCACAGTCAAAACATCCTGCTAAACTGACTTAAATCTTCTGCAGGATCTTTGGCATATGAAGTCATAATGTGCTTCAATAATTGCATAACTATTTTTTAATCAGTGTATTTGAGAAAATGGTAAAGAATCATTATCTCAAAAATTTAGTATTAACCAAAACATGTAGAGTTTAAATCATTAGCTCCTCGTAACATTTTGTAAAGTCAAAAGGTTGTTGTCAGAATCGTTGTTTCTTCACAAAAAATACTCTGTATAAAATATTTTTTCACTAAGCACTCTTGAAACAAATGAATCCACCATTTACGTGTATTAACATTAATGTTCTTTTTTGAGTAGTCAATCCTGAAGTATGGAGGCAGCACAGTCAAGTAGTGAAAGCACTGGACTTCCGAGCAAAAGCCATGAATTTGCGCAACGAAGAAGCAGTTTCCCATGCTGGTCTACAGGTTCATCCAGCATATAAATGATACCTTCATAGTGTTTATTAGTGTCTTGCTTGCACTTTTTAATGCAGGAGCAATGCCAATTTCAGAACAGTACTGCAAAAAAACAATTGCTCCTATCCGTAGTTTAGTATTTGTTTCACATGATATGATTCAAAGCTTGTTGAAGGGATGTTTTTTAAGCTACTGTGGTGATGAGTGTGAAGTGTTTGTTTCTTAAACAAAACATTCTTTAATATTGTATGGGTCTTTTATAAATGTCGGCATTGGAACCACAATTGTAAATAGAGGCATGGTTCTCAGATCATAAATTTATTTCTTATGCAATAAGAAATTTTATTTTCACTTTGGTAGTCCGACATTGTCTTAAATTTTTTCATGTACAAATAGGACTACAATAGCTACTTCAAAACCTCACATTTATTAAGCTATAATTTTAATCTCTCTCTCTCTCTCTCTCTCTTTTTTTTTTTTTTTTTTTTTTTTTTTTTTTTTACAGTTTTAAATGTTTCTGCACATGTTTTATTTTGGTGTTATCTCTCAATGTGTATATTCTTCTGGCACTCAAAATTGTATTCTATTTTTAGTACCTTTGTGAGACGGCTATTTCTCAAATTTTTATTATCACATATTTTCTTAATTCTCATTCACACATTCATTCAACTTTACTTTTTTAATGTAAAACTTTTAAAAATTTTCTGATTTTTATGCACTGGTTTCAGTTTTCTGTGTGCACATATTATTTTCAAACTTTTCAAGAAACATCTTAATTTTGTATGTATGTATGTGTGAAACTAGAAAGCTTTTGAATAATTGCCCACAGTATAGATATGTATTTTTTATATTAAGTGTTTAATATTTCTGTGTATGAGATCAATGAAAATTTTATTTAAATGTTTGTTTAAATTGCAGTACTAGTTTTAATTCTTCCACATATGGATGCAAAATTTTCAGATAAGGAAGTTTCTTTTAATTTCATTTATTTTTGCTGTGTTATGAAATTGAATGCTTGCATGAATATTATGTTTTGAGTTGCATATTTTTTATTGCATGGCTTGTTGCTATTTTTTTTTTTCTTTCCATTCTTAGGCAACAGTGGTAACAAAGTCCCTGTAGCAGTAGTATCCCCACAAACACGGCATGAATCAGAGCTTTGTGCCAAAACGCCAGTTGCCATCTCTACACCAAAAGATGATCAAGACCCACATGATGTTGGGAGCCAACTATCTCTTCTTAAACAAAGTGCTGTTTGAGATACTTCTTAAGAATTTTGCAAGTGAAATCGGAAATTAGGATTTCAGCATGATGAAATCATTTTATTCTGTCATGCTTTTTTTAACTTCCATGTGGAATAAAAAAGTTCTTTCTTAGAGATTGCAGACCATGAAGTATGTCTATTTAAACATAAAAATATTTGCTTTGTAGCTAAAATAGAAAAAAATAAATAAATAAATAAATAAAGCTATCATAATTCAGTGTGGTTAATAACAAAATTTTTCTTTAAATTTATGTTCGGTTGTATTTGTTATTCTGAATTATTATATTTTTAAAAGGCATCTATGTAGAGATCATGTTAGTGTTATGAACATATTACATTCCTGGTTTTTTTATCATTAAAAGAATTCATCTTCAGTAGTCGCTATCATCCAACCATCAGCATTAATTATATCATAATACTTAAGTCATTATCATATAGTTCTGTTTCAGAATAATTTTGTATTTTTCATAGTTTATATATTGATGTTCTTATTCTAAAATAATTAACTTGTTATAAGGCAAAAATAATTTTTGACACATTTTTTTTTCATAATGAGTTTGCTATATAAAATAAAATCTCATATCAATTAGATTTAATCTTTATTCAGTGAATATTGTCTTGGCTATTAACCTTTAAGGTATTTGCTCTTAAATGAATATCTTTTAATATAGTGATTATATCTTTTATGAATATTATCCATTTTAATAGTGGATATTATTCTTATTTAGTGTTTATATTGTTTTTGATAGTAATTTTATAGTAACTTTCTGAGAGTGGATAGTAATTTTAAAATAAAAATCTATGAAACCTGTGATAATTATGATTTTTTTTCTTTTCAAAATGTACAGTTTTAAAATTATTTTTATATTTTAAGTTATATTTCAGTTTGTGTTTCTTTTGATTATTATGATTTTTATCTTTTAAAGAGAATTTGCAAATTGTTTTTTTGTGATCATTATAGCTGCATTTCAGAATTTCTTTTATTTTTGGCCTTTTTAGTAGCTTGAACATTTGTTTGATATACGAAGCATTTACTATTTTTAAATTATATATGTGCATTTCTGATTTTTTTCCCCTTAAAAAAGGTCATTTTTGATTGCAAAGTAGTGTTAAATTTTGCATTAGTCTGTGCCATTTCTTTATAATGCAATTTTGAATGAATTCTTTTTTTTTTTTTTTTTTTTTTTTTTTCTCCACCCTCCTCATATTAATTTTGTAAGATCTCTGCTTGAGAATTAGTGTATAAAGTGATTCAGCTGATATTATATTCAGACTGTTCATTTATTTTGTACATAGAATTTTTATATAAAATAATGCTCACGTACAAAATGATTCTGCTTCTGCAGTTAAATGTTAAAGTCAAGGAAGTGTGAAATATATTTGAATGTCCCTAGTGTATTATATATTTAAGAAATATTTTTCTTTTGATATTCTTTGGCTTCCGATGTAATTTTTTTAATGTCATTGAAATGTATTTGCTGTGTATTTATTATTGTATTTTAAATTAAAAATTAATTATTTATCACCTGTCTTTTCTCTTTTTTTAAAAACTTAATTTTGAGTAGTATGCATAACATGTTGATTTGAAGAGACATAAAGAGTTTAGAGAAAAAGTATACAAAAGTACATTTGATGCCACAAATACTCAACATGTAATTTTTTATGAAAAATACATTTTCTCTTTAACCTCTTGACGTGTAGCAATGACCTTCTGAAAACACCAATTTTTGAATTTTTCCTCCTTCTTTCTGAAATTTTTGACTGAAAACCAATTGATTACTAATCTTTTACCTCTAAATAACACAAAATGACTATGATACACAAAATGAATTATGAAATAACACAAAATGATCTAAAAAAAATTTTTAGATCTTAGTGCTTAAAATCGAATGCCTGTTAAAATTTGTTTTAAGTGAGACAAAATAACTTCCTTTTATTAATATAAACAACTTTAAATTTCAAAAGTTATTCATCGTATATCATCATTTCTATCATAAACAATAAAATTCTAGCAATAATTAAACTACATACGTAAACAACCTGTGTATATTTATGGCATTTGCTTTGGGGTTTCAGGGTACAACCATTGAGCCACTAGAGCATTGTGAAGAGCAGATGTTACAATGCTCTGAACCACTGCTCTTCTCAGTGGTGTGTGTGCTGATGTCAAATAGAGTGTTTATATTTACTTGGACATAGGTAAAGGGCATTGAAACCACAGACTTATTTTATTACTAAACAAAATGTGTACCCTGCCCAGTGAAAATGTGTTTTGTTAGTTCTTGTAAAAAGATCTTTCATTTCCAGAGATTTTTCTCAGTGCTCAACACGCTTGTTCCTATGCTAGTATCATTATTTTATAAATTATTTTGTGTGGTTTAAGTACAATGTAAATGTATTTTTCTCTAATTAAAAATAGAAGTTGCATTAAAAGTTTTTTTTTTTTTTAATTTAAAATATTCTTTTTTCTTTTACTGAGATTTAAAGGGCCTCATAAAGGACTAGAAATAGCTGATGTATTAGCTGTACTTGAAGAACTTTTTGAGTGATAACAGCCTAATGCCAAAAAGAAAGGACAAACTTTATCAAATTTGGCCTCTGTTGAATCATTTGTCGGAAAAATTCGATAGATTTTACCAGGGGAAAATAAGTTTGATTTGTTTCAAAGGTAGAAGTTCGCTAAAACAGTACTTGCCTAAAACCTAAACGCGGTAATAAAGTGTATATGCATAGCAATGGAAGCGGCTATGCTTGTAAATTTGAAATTTATACTGGTACAACTCAGGAAGTAGAAAAACATCTCAAAGAGTGGTAAAAATCATAGAGTGTACATGGACAAGTTTTTTTACATCTGATGAACTTTAAAACTTTCCTAAAATGCTCATGGAAGATAAATATTAAAACATTGTGACATTGATGATAAAATAACTAATCTAAAATGGAAAGACAAAAGATATGCTACCATTTTATCTAGCCTAGACCATCCCACTATTTTATCTACCGTAGAAAGGAAAGAATAAAATGGACAGAAAATTCAGATTTTATGTCCAAAAGCAATTATGGATACAGTAAAAATAGGGGCAATATGGACTACTTTAAGCAATTAAAAAGCTTATGGAAAACTGAGAAGAAAAGTAAAACAAAATGATGCATCTTTTTATTGATTGATTGATTGATGTCACCATAATAAATGCCTTCATTACATACTGAATGCATCCAGAAAGTGACCCCAATTTAGAAATACTCAAATCGTTCAGAATGGAAGTAATCAGCAGTATAATACAAATGAGAAACAAATACCAAAGCGAAAAGGACCAAGCCCCCTGTTAATGTTAAAAAAAGCGTTGAACTACATGTGCCAGTAAAATGCAAATCCAGACAGTGTACATTTTGTAGTCTAAGGGAGAAACCTTAGAGAACAAGATATATGTGCTAAACGTGCAATGGTAGTCTATGCATGTACCAAAAAGGCAAAACATGTGAACAGTTTTACAATAAATAACTTTATCATTTGACATTTAAAAAAAAAATCTCTGATTCCCCCCCCCCCACACCAATTCTTATTAAGTATGTTCTTACATTTTCACTGCTCTAAAAAAGTTGCATAAATGTTTATTAGCCCAAAGGAGGGTTAACCTAGAAGGACTCTCAGAACGGCATTTTGCGTCGCTTCAAAAATCGTATTTGTATAGACATTAGGAAATTTTTGGAAGCAGGAGTCATGCAAAAGAAGCAATGCCTTCACCGGGAATCGAACCATGGATCTCTGGAAAACGCACCCAGCATGCCAATGGCCAGTATTTTTTTTTTTTTTATTATTATTATTATTATTAAAAGAAACTCAACAAGTTCCCCATGTACCACATAGTATCACATGGGGCTTACAGAAGTAAGTATGAAACACAATACAAAATAAACAAGAGAGAATTGAAATAAAATTAAGGATGATTACAAAGTTTTACAATGAATTGACAAAAAGTGTTAAAAGCACTTCTCTCGGAAATAAATTGGTAAAACTCTGGAGGCCAGTTAATATTAAAATTTTTCAGTCCAAGTTTCAAGACTTTTCTTTCGCTCTCATATTTAGGACATGGAAGAAGCACATGTTCTACATTCTCTTCTCCGCCGAGGCCACAGTCACAGACAGACTCAGGATTCAACTTAAATCTGTTCAAATAACTTTTAAAATTCCCATGTCCAGTAAGAAACTGGGTTAATTTGTAATTTGTAAAGAAATGATGACACGACAATCTCATTTTAATAGAAAAGAAAAATCTAGTTAAACTCCCTTTATTTGAATTAATGAATTCGTGATTCCACGACTCCACAATGCATTCATACATGACCTTCTTATAGAAGGAATTAGGGATATTGACAAAAGTGTCAATTTCCCGCTTAGTCGCAGTCTTAGCAAGGAAATCGGCTCGTTCGTTCCCAACAACACCTGTATGACCATGAACAAATGAAAATGAAACCGAAATATTTTTATCCTTTAGATTCTTCACTTCTTTTTGAATTTCGATAATGATATTATTAGAAGAAGAAATACATTTTAAGATCTCCAAGGATGAAAGGGAATCAGTACAAATGAGATAGTCTGAAACAGCAGTAATTTGTTTAGAGACCCATTAAAATTTTTAATTAATTTATTTATGAATTAATTATATGTAAATACACATGGGATAATGTGAGCCATAAATACGGAAGAGGAGCATATTTTGTAATTTTTTTTTTAAATTTTTTTTTGTATAAAAATAAAATTTTTAATTTTCTTGTATAAAAATAAAATTATCTTATTCTAATTACAACTGTAATTAATTTATTTAGAAAATAATTAAACAGCAAATTCAAAACGTCTACTGACAAAGTCATGTGATCATCAGCACAAAGATTTATTTGCAAAGTCGCGACACCCAACGCGAAGTATCAACCGTATTTAAAGAAAATATCCCTTTCCTCTTCCCTATCTTAGCTTCTGGATATTTAGGATCTAAGGCAACCTAAACACTCTTCCCATTGCTTGGCGCCTATTGCCCAGGTTGGCGAACGCGATTTCAGGAACCTCGTCAAGTGCCGATTATCTGAAAAAACCCCACAAACCGATAAATTATATACAATTAAAAAATAATTTTGTATTCAAAATTAATTAAATATTTGCAAAATCAAATATAATTCTTACCTATACATCCAGAAATTCAGCAGAAAACGAATAGTAACGAAATCGGATATCATCTTTATAATTTTAAAACAAGAAATTAACAATAGCGAAGCATTTCATTATAAATTTAACATATTTTTACTGGAAAATACATGCACGGAACAGCTTACAAATACGTACGTTTCACTGCCGTAATTCAATGTTTTGAAAATTACAAACATGGAAGCTGCTGGTTGGGAGGAGTTTCATTCCCCGATAGTGGAGGAAACTGCGAACTCTCTCTCCTTGCATTGAAGGCTAGTCGGACATTTAACATTTTTGCCATGTATGAGCTCAAGGAGGTTAGAATATATTAACATACTTGTATGAGCAAACCGTCCGACGTCGGACGTGTAGCCCAGGTATGAGCCCACCTAGAAGCTCGAGTTTTCGAATTTATTTTATTATCTCTTTCATATTTTGCAAAAATTTAATTAATTTTGAGTAAAAAAACTCAACGATATCAAAGTGAGCAGGGGTCAACGATACCAACCTGACTACAAATTCCTGTTTTTTTTTTTTTAATTTAAATTTCCTTTTCTTTCCCCTAAAAAATGCCTGCAATGAATTTTGATTTGCTGCATTGTGTAAAAATTTATCACACCTTGTAAGTAATCTACGAATCATTGTTGATGTGGGCCAGCCTTTGTTTTCTGTACCCTGTTGCGATCTTTGCCGCTCTTAAAATTCTACTACCGAAAGTTCCAGTTGTGAATGCTAGCCAGTTCCTATCAAAATTTTCTTCAAGAAGGCATCCCTCCTCTTACGAAGATAGCTCTCAAACCGAAGCTTTTTCTAAATTTGACAAATTTTCCCATCTCTAAATATTGCCTTTGATGCTACCGCACTAGCCTTGATGTTGAGCAAAAGAACCACATCGCTAATATTTATAATATGATATTCCAAATTTCCGCTTTTTGATCATTATCAAGCACAAATGTCTATGGAGTGTCGTTCACTAAAAATGATTAATAAAATGAATGACATGAACCAACGTAGTGCTAAAGAGAAATGATGAATAGCTCGGGGAAAAATGAGGATCTCTCTCCCCTCCTCTTTGCCAAGAGTGAAAAACATTTCATTCTAAAAATTTGTAACGTCAATTTGGTGCCCACTGGATTCTGCTTCCGAGGACATATGTTCCCTTTCGCCTCCCTTCTAGCTACACCCTGGTCCTAAGAAATAGCACAAACCTTTAACATGCGCCTTTACCATAGATATAGTAATCTAGTATTACTATATAGAGTACTAAATAGATATAGTAATACTGTATCTATGTAAGGCTCCTCTAAACCAGGCTGAATCACTAACTTTTCTCTCTT